GCAAAGGCACGCATGCTCACCTAGGCTGGCTTATGGCTAGAGAACCAGCCCATTTCAAAATGGTTCTCACGGGCACCACGCTCTTTGCCCATGGACCAGAAGCTTTCTCCTTATAAAGACGATCCTGCTCTTCCTAGTAGTACAGCATGGGAGCTGGCACACAACAGCAACTCAGAAGAGGTTTGATGAAGGAAAAGGAAGACTGAGTTAGCAGCTATTCCACTGCAGACACAAGAAGGGACTCATCTTCTCTCTCACTCATGAAAAGGAGAGGTAGACCAGGAAGGCTGTCAAGGAACTTGGAGAAGACAGGCTCTGGTGCTCTTGTGTATAACCCTCGCCGGTCAGTGTGGCATCCGCTTTGGTCCAGGACCCCTCCCTTTTGACTACTGAGCCAGGTAGGGCTTTCCAGAGCTTACACCTCACCTTCTCATCATTAAGACTAAAATGCGGGACAAACTCTTAACCCTGCTATTCTGTTATCTACAGACCTATCCAAACTGCTTGAACACCTTCTACTTCCCACCTCTCCTAACTTGCATGGAGTAACACGCGCAGAGGTGTCTGGACTTCTCTGATGCATCTTTTACCCTGGGCTCATTCCTTTCCTCACATCTGTCCCTCATCCTAACCAAAGCAGTATTCTTTTAGCTCCAGGGATCCTCTGGGACAGGCCAGCAGCAAGAGGAAAGAGCTACTCCCTCTGCCTCTTAGCAGCTGTGCTACCTGGTTGGTCCATCTCGGTCCCTTAGTGCTCCCCATCTCTGCACCTGCCTGCCTCTCCTCTGCCTTTTCTTCAAGATGTTAAAAACTTGCAATAAAAAACAAATACAAAATGCTGTAATTAATAGCCAATTCTCAGCCAACCCAGCATCTCTACTAATAAACCTCAACACTTGGAAAAAGAACAATAAATTCTACCCCTCTCTGCTTCTGAGGTGGTCTCTTTTATATACTCTGTGTGTGTGTATGTATGTGGGTAAGTATGTCTACATATATATTTATTTTCCTTTATTTCCCATCCAGGGAGGGGCAGAATAATGAACTGCGTGCGTCAGGGAAGATGAATCTGAGATACTAGGGAGCAGTGCAGTAAAAAGATTAAAGTGTTATTATTGTTGGGTTTTTTTCCCCCATGGTCCATTGTGACAGCTCGACCGTCATCTGTAAAAAATGTCTCAGCGAGAGATAATCATCGGAAACTCAATAAAGCGTCAGGGGGAGCCTCAGCCCCCATCAATCACTGGGTGCCTGGAAAATTTCAGCCCTCTGTCTCCCTTCCTGCTATCCATATAAATGTCTCTAATATATTTTGTGTGGTGTGTGGGACCCATCCCTGATTTGGAACTTTTGATGAAAAAATATTTATACACAAAATATGTAAATCAGTTAAAAATCACAAGACTACTTCTTTGCCACCCCATCACACTTTCTCTTATTTTTATAAATGCATCAAATTTATTCTTTTTAATAAAACATGTCAACTAGTCTATCCTTCTCTTTTAGAATACACATATACATGCACATGCACATGGCACACAAGCATATTTGGAGACCTAAAAACAAATGGAAACAACCTCCCTAGCTGCGAGATTTAATTTTGAAGCTGGCCAAAAGCCCTGATGGAGTGACAGTGCACTGTCCACCCTGGTGATTCTACACTGGCTGGTACTACTGAGCAGTGACACACAGAATCACTGACCCTGGAGGTATGATGAGACTCTAAGGGGCCTGGATGGGATGAAGAAGAGGCAAGAACAATATTAAGAATAACTTGCTGTCTTGGTTACTTTTTTCTCCTTGCTGGGACAAAATACCCAACACCCAAAGTTAAAAGAGGAAAGGTTTATTTAGCTCACAGTGTGTGGAGGTTTCAGTCTGTAATCAGCTGGCTCCAAGGCAGGGTGGTATGGCACAGGGGTTCATGGCGGCGGAAGATAGCAAAAGCAACAAGAGCAAAAAGGGACAACAAGCTTCTTTCCCTCCCTTTTAAGAGAAGCAAGCTACCTGCCCCAGGGTGGGTGTAGCACTCACACCATCTGGGTACCCTTCTCTTGCACAGGCTCCAGCTGTTTACAAAGAGAGGATCCTGGCCCTCTGCTGAGTCACTTAGTTAAACTTCTAAACTTCTCAAGTTGACACGATGAACATCATCCTAGAGTGTAAAGGCACAATGAATATCATCCTAGAGGGTAAGAGCTGGTCCTCCACACCCCAGGATATCTGAGTTACTTAGTTAAGCTTCTAAACCTCTCAAATTGACACAATGTATCAACCATCACACTGGCCTGAACTGCTTTTGACTTGGTAGATTCCCAGCCCTCTGAACAGGCCCGAGGTTCTCAGCAGACTCAGTAAGGGCACAGGGAGGGTGATATGGTCACTGGGTTCTATCTAAGAGTAGAAGACAGCTCTGCTGGCATCTGACATGACTACTCTACCTCAGTTTCCTGTCGTGTCAACATCAGAGGGTTGCTGTGCACACACAGCGCCAATGAATGTTACTAGCTATTGCTGCAGTTGTCACATTGGGTGACCTTGTCTTCTCCCCAGTTCTCCAACCTGGAAGGAGTCAGTTCCTGCAATGCCCTCCCCTCTAGGACTTTCAAGATCAACTCTGTCTGAAGGACAGATCCAGGCATACTGGACCTGGCCCCAGTGTATTAATGCTGCATCTGTATAGCTCGTCACTCTTTAGACTGCATCTGTGTGGAGGCTGCACCCTAACATGTTCACTTAGTAGCCCAGAACCCAACTTCTCTGTTTCCACCCCTGGTGGTTATGGACATAGTATTCTTTACTCCCATCTACCTGCACCCAACTACTAGCCTTCCATGCAGCTCCCTCAATCTTCCTTAGATGTGAGGCTCAAGTACTATTTTATTTTCTTGACTGTTTCAGCCAGCGAGTCTTTTCTTTGAGAACTGCTAATTCTTGTTATCTGTACCTCTGACTGGACCCGTCAAATACTGTTTCAGTCAGATCTTCAATCTTCATCATTAATTGCCATTCTTGCGAGCATCTTACATTTACATGATACCTTGTATCTTTCAAGTGCTTTCATAAGTACTTCAACTGATTCTGACAACAAACCTATGGGATAGGAAATACTATTCTCTACAGATGAGAAAACCAGCTCTGAAATACAGAACTGCCCCAGGTCACAGAGTTAGGTAACAGTCAAACTATTCCTCAGATTCTATTGTCTACTTTAAGGCTGACAGTTTGCTATCAGGAAAAAGCATTTGGAAGGCTGGGTCAAAGATCTGAATGAAGTTCCATGAGAGTATGTGATGATGATGCAGCAAAAGTGGAGAACAGAGGTTTACATTCATGGAATTCCTTCTATGCTCTTTTCTTTTTTGAGACAAAGTCTCACTATGCAGTTCAGGCTGACCTTGACCTCACTGTGTAGCCCAGGCTGGCCCTGAACACGTGGCAATTCTCCTGCCTCAGCCTTTTGAGTGCTGGGATCGCAGGTACGCACCATCATGCCCGGCTTACATTCTAGGTTTTATGTAAGTGGTAAATGTAGTACCTCTCACTCTCTTAATATCTTTTATATTGCAAATAGGAGAAAGAATCTCTGAGAAGTACATGACGCTGCTCCAGGTGTCACAGCTATTAAGTTGTGTACACTCACACTATCATGGCTTAGCACATAGCTTCTCTGGGGGATAAGTTTTGTTTTTTTTTTTAAATTTTAAAGAGAAAAAAACAAGAACAAAAACAAAACAACACTAAAACTATAAAAATGATACAGAATTTCAAAACAAGATGAGAGGAAATCAACAATAGTTTTTATACTAGTTATTGCTATCTTCAAAGTAGTTGCTCAGTTTACCAGGTATAGGTATGAAAGGTTGATCAAACAAACATTAACTGTTCTTTTCAATAAATCAATCGAAATTAATAGTACAATTATCTTAGCTATCTTACGTATATATATATATATATTTTTTTTTCCCTTTCCTTCTTTTCTCCTTTTTCTCATTCAGTTGTTCTTTCCTATTGAGCAGTTTCTTTCCCTTTCACAATATCTACTGTACCTTTCAGATTTTATTTACACTTTCAGGTTCTTATACTAGGGAGACAATACAGTGTTTACACATGCAGGTCTAATTTATTTCACTTATCAGTATGGTCTCTAGTTGCATCCATTTACCTATAGCCTTGAGTTTATCTTTTTTATAGCTGAGTAATACTCCATTGTATAAAAATACCACATCTTTTTATCCACTCCTCAGCTGATGGGCATTTGGATTGTTTCCAAGATTTTGCTATGACAAATTGTGCTGCTATAAACATGGGTACACATATATTGCTGTGGTATGATATTTTTAATTCTTCTGGGAAAATACCTAGAAGGGGAATAGCTTGGTTAAATGGGACCTCTAATCCTAATCTTTTTTTGGTCTTTTTGAGACAGGGTCTTGCTATAAAGTTCAGACCGGCCTTGAGCTCACTTTGTGGCCCAGGCTGGTCTCGAATTCACAACGATCCTCCTACCTCAGCCTCCTGAGTGCAGGGATTACAGGCATGTGCCACCATGCCTGGCTTAATCCTAATTTTTTTACGAATCTAGGAGTAAAGTTGAAAGTAACAAAATAAGATCTCTTTTAGAGAAATGAAGGCTCAGATGAGTTTTTTAAGCCGTTTAAGCACAAGACTGAAATTAACACCTGTAGTCTAGATTGTGCCACTCAGACAGTGGGAGCCTGGTATAAATGCAAAACCTCAGGTTCACTTTAGACCCACTGACTGTCTGGGGGTGGGGCCCAGGAATCTGCATTTTAACAAGCTCTCTAGGAGAGTCCCATTCCCTTGGGAACCTCGGTGCTCTTATCTCAGTTTCCGCTCTTCAGCAACATACATTCTCTTTGTGGGCCTGGGTGGAGCTGGGCACATGGTGCTTAACATATACTGAGGAGATGAACTAATCAGGTGAGACCACTCCTGGGGAGAGGGAGAAATATTAGCGTAGAGAGCAGTTCCATTACCGCCAGTGGGGACTCCTAGCCACCTCCTGAACTGCAGGGCACTTGTCCACTGGTTTGTGATGAGCCAGCTTGCACCGTCCTGTCCCCCATCTGAAGACAAGAGATGGGGAGGTCAGCTGGAGCAGGCCAGGACCCGCAGCCCCTGGAGTTGTGGGGGAAAGGTGCTCTCAGAGAGATGAGTTTGGCCCTAGCAGGTCCAGCCTGGTAAAGCAGGCCCTCTACCCCCAGAAGGGCCATATGCCAACCCAGCGTCTGCAGGGCTCATCTTTATTCAGCTGCCATTTGAAGCTGAGAAGAGAAGTTGATTTATAGCCGGCTCTAGCCACGTTTCTGCCGTGTTTTATTGTTTTAATTGTACATATGAGAGGCACTCAGAGAGCTCACTTGCATTTCTGACAGTCCCAGACATTTGATGTTTATAACAGTTACTTATAAGCAGCCAGCGGCATCCCAAGCTGGGCGACTTGTTTACTGTTACTACTAATTTACTGCATCTTCCACCTGAGGATTGGGGCCCACCACCCATCAGCCAGCCACAAGTGGAACTCTCCTGGAGCGGCATGGGTGGGGCTCAAGGCATCAAAGAGAACGCAGTCAAGACTGGGGAATGAGCTGGCAGAGAGACAGCCATGATCCCCATGCTCCCTTCACACTCAGATGGCTCTGCCCAAGCTGTGTCCACTGCTTTCAAAATTTTTCTTTTGACCTTCCTCTTTAACCCCAAAGACTAGCTTAAATCCTATTTCTTCTAAGTATAGTACTTGCTCTGATAAAGAGCCAACAGCTTTTATTTTTTAATTTTAATTTTTTGGGAGACAGGATCTTGTTTTGTAGTTCAGGCTGGCCTTGAACTTACTATATAACCCAGGCTAGCCTCAAACTTGTGGCAATCCTCCTGCCTCAGCCTCCTGAGTGCTGGGATTACAGCTGTGTGCCACCACGTCTGGCTCCAGAGTCAACAGCTTTTAGAACTTTAGAAATCATACAGCTGGCAGGAACCTTGGAGGCTATATAATATTATCCACTGACCCCGGACAAGAATCCCCGACAGGCAGACTAATGCAGCAGCCTGTGAAGTGTGAGTTGCTCACTACCTCCTAAGTGAGTTTCTTCCCTTAACTGAGCCAAAGCACACTTCCACAGGACAAGTCTTCGTTCAATGTCACTGTGTTTTACATATATGTGATTATCTCTAATCTTTCACACAATCCAATAAAACAGGTATTGGTATTCCTATGTAACAGACGAAGATTGAAAGTCAAGGATTTTAAGTCACTTGCTTAAGATCACACAGCCAGTCAGTGAAACTCAACTTACTTCTGAAGATGCCACTTGGAGGGCTGCAGAGAATGGAAAGAACAGTAAGGTCAAGGAGATATCCACACCAAGTATTCCTGGGGTGCCTGTACAACCAGCAAGCCTGCCTGCTACTCAGAAACACCCACCTTTGCAAGAGTGGGCAAGTCCATAGTGTACCTGCTTGAGCGGGCTCATGCTAAGGAACGGTACTTATATGTGAGACAGGAGAAGGGGTGCATTAGGCACGGGCCACAAAGATCTTTTTTCCCAGTTCTGTTTGTTCTCAACAGGCAGAAAAGACACAAAATGTCTGATACCTTTACATTCCCGGTCTGGATCTTCTTTCTTCTTCACACTGTAAATGCTGGTAATTCTCTTACACCCTCACTTTAACACCTTTCCCAGAGCAATTTCAGTTACATCCAATTCCCACACAAATGCTGGTGACTTCTAAATCTCTACCAGACTCCTCTAAACTCTGGATCCACATACTCAATTGCCTACCCAAATCAGAAACTGAAGTGTCGCCACGGCATATCCTTTTCCTCAGCATTACACAATTCACTGAGTACTCAACCTCTTTATATCTTCCTAACATGAATTTTCTCCATTTCTAAAGAGCCTCTGTATTACCCACCAGAAATATGAAGTGCATTTTGAGGGAGAGGAACACAGCTTCTCCTCGGATTCTACAAGGGGTCCATCATTCCCAAGAGGTCAAGAACCAATGCTAACCTCTCCCTTCCAAATTCTCCTCTATTCTGTCAAATGGCTCATCTAAGATGCAAATGTAAATCCAGTATTTCCTGCTGAAACTCCTTCAGTGGCTTTCGGAATACAGTGTGAGCTCCCCAGAGCTGCCTTACAAGGTCCTTTCCATGGGTAACCTTCCCTCTCCAACTTACTGTTCTCAAAATTGTGGCAGATGATGCTACAGGCTAGCACCTCTCTCCACCTTACCTCTCTGGGCCTGTTGTTCCCTATGCCCGGAAGATCTGTCCTTCTTAGCTAGCCTGGCAATCTGCAACTCAACCTTGAGATTCAATTAGAAGTTACTTACCCTGTGACACATCCCAGATACCCCTGCTCCCAGAAAGAGCTCACCACTACCTCTCTCAGTGCTGCCTTCTTTCTTTGTGGAGCTACCTTTGCATTTACCACTCAATACTGTGATTCCTTGCTCACAGGTCATCTTTTCACTTGACTAGGAGAACTGCTGAGGGCTAGACCATGTATGTTCATTTATGTATTTTCAGCATCTAGAAGAGTAACTACATGCTGAATTATAACTAAATGGAACTACTAAGCACAACTGTAGAGTACTCTACAACCCATATGGGTGTTTCATCTCTTGATCTTCACAATAATGCTGTTAAGGTAGATGAAAGATGTACTACTAGAGGTAGAGAGCTCTTGCTAAGAGCAAACTACAACTTACCACCTTCCCTCAGTATTAACGTTAGCCTGAGGCCCACAGAAATATCTATTAGAAAATAAGTGAACTTGATGAACTTTGGCACTGACTATATTTCAATAGGGAAGGATGGCCAGTAATCCTAAGTGTAGAGCTTTCCTGTGATGCCTACACACACTCCAGTAAGGCGGACACACCTCATTTCATTTTACCCTCCTCATACACCCAAATAAGTCAGGTAACATCCCACAAAAAAGTCAGTGCAACCCAAAGAACAGAGAACCATGGATTCACATGTTTCTGTCTACTTTATCAGTGAGGACGACCCAGTTATCTGCACAGTGCCTTGCTTACAGAAGGCAGTCAGTGAACACTGGTAGAAGGGAAGAAAGAAAGAGTTATCCTTAGCTGGAAAAAGGAAAGATAAAACATGGTTAAGGAGGAGACCAAGCTGGTAAAGAGAGCAGAGAGCACTGGGATGATTCTTAAAGACTGTTATTATCCATCTCTCAGAATAAAAAAGCAGAGACCAGTACACAACCAACCCTCAGACCTGGAAAAATATGCTGGTAGAAACAGTGTACAAAAGTACAGAGGGTAGATCTTCCAAGCTACAGTGAGATGATCAATGATTCCTGACAAAATTCTAGAATGTATTTCTTATAATGGTTCTTAAACACTTCGGTGATTGCTGGGCATCAGAGTAGGTTCCTCGAGAACAAGACATTAACATGGCAGAGTAACCTAATTTCCTTTTTGGAAAAGGTTACTGGGGCAAGAAAGTAAGAGAAATGCTAAATCCATTTTTTACTTCAGCAAATCTGAAAATATTTCTTATAATTTTATGGACAAAATGGAGAAATGGAGGATGGGAAGGAAGGAATTTTGGCTGATGACAGCTATGAAATCTGAATCATGCATCAAAATCATCCTGATCGTGTGCTCTAGGACTCTAGGTAACTGTGCTCTTACGAACACTTTAATCCATGTTGGCACTGATCTTGTCTATCTAACTCACCAGTGCCTGGTATACAGGAATGTTACCAATAAATAATTCTTAATAAATAAGTGAATGTACAGAAAGCCTATCACTAAATTTGCAGATCATACAAAACAGTTAGTGTTTTTGTTTTTATTTCATGAAGGACATGATAGCCTTTCCCATTTTTTTTTTGTCTGCCTACCTACTTAGAACGTAGGCTGGCTGACATAAGAATGAAAAAGAATTCAGAGGACGTTGGTTAAAAGGGAAAAATAATAGATAAGGGAAAAAAAAAAAGAATAGAAAAGATCTAGAACAGGACTGGCAAACTACAGTGAATGGGCCAAACCAGGCTGCTGCCTATTTTTGTAAAGTTTTATTGAAACACATCTATTCTTAACTTGTTTCTTTATTATGTATGGCCGCTCCTGCCTTAAATGACTGAGGTGAGTAGTCACAACTGAGAGCAACTGGTTCACAAAATGTCTACTATCTGGCCCTTTCCTGAGAAAGACTGCTGACCACCGATCCAGAACGCTGAATATGAATACTGACCTGTGGAGAAGCTTTAGAACACAAAGCAACAAAACTTAAAAATAGGCTGTGGAGACCAACATGACAGCAGAAACTGGACTAGATGATCTCAGACCTCTGAGATTCTATGAAATAAAAAATATTTCCTGAGCCCTGCTAGGATCCTGAGAACAGATGAGAAGACACTCAAAGAATCCCCACTGTCCTTCCTAACTCTGCCTCACAAATGTTTCTCCCTGCTTTTGATGAGATGCCTGACAGAGCTGAGGAAGGATGGTATGTGTGGATGAGCAGGAGACAGCTCATAAACAAGTTCTCACATACTAGGCAGCAAATACAGGGAAGTTTGGTACTTCTGAAACTCTTCTCTGTTTGGAACATAAAGTGAACATAATTTCTCGAGCTCAGTGGGGAACCCAAGGAGGCACAGGTCATGGCCTGCACATGGAACTGTCATCTGGGAGACACATGGGTAGACATGAGTACAAATAACCATGGTAAACGGCAAGATTTAGGGAACATTCAGAAGAACAACTGAGGGCAGCCTGCAGTTACTGCCATGGACAGGAGTTTTGTGGAGGACGGGGCCTCGACAGCACCAGGTTTAGAGAGGTGGAAAGGCAGGGGCGGGTGACTCACACTGCATCTGGGCAGCAGCACCCTGATGCTCCTGGACATCCTCCTGCCAGTAACTGGAAAAACGTTTTCTCTGGGTCACCAATAACCTTCTACTCTGGGCCAGGGTCACCAATAACCTTCTACTCTGGGCCACACTTGCCCATGTCAGGCTGGTGGCCTCACTAACAGCCCCGAGGGGTGAATGCCCTGCTCCCCTTCACTGAATCTGCCCAGAGTCCATGTTCTGATCCTCAGGTGCTCAGCAAGGTTTTCCATCCTCGCGACATCACTGCCAACCTGAAAGCAGCCACTGTTCAGTGGTCCTGCTGCTGGAAGTCTCAGGGCGCTCTCAGGTTCTCTGAGTGATCCAGGACAGTGGGCAGGAAGTAGGGACAGTTGTCTATACAATCAAAAGCTCAAATGCAAAATTCTCATTTCTATCTGCAACATACTTTCTTCTCCACACCACTTTGGAAGAACTACTTGGTAGAGGCAACACAGACTGACCTGCCCAGGTGCCTTCCAACAAACAAGTGGCTGAGCCCCGGTGCATTGCCTCTTCTGAAATCTCAACAGTCACGTATACAACATTGCAGAGGAGGCACTGATGTCAAAACCACCTTACAAGCACAGATATCAAGGCATAAAAAGGTCCACTATTTGTCCTGGGTCATACAGTAAGGCAACAGACCAGTCTCAGAGACAGGGTTGTACACAATGAAAAAACAGCACTCAGTTTAGGGACTTCTGAAATTGAGGAAACCAGCGAGGCTGTTTTCTTACTCCAGGAGAGGGTATGTCTGCAGGAAGTACAAAAGGAGCAAGTAGATGTTCCCTACAGTTGTTCCAATTATTTTACTGAAATCTGCTTAATTATCTACTCATCTGAGGGTTCCCAGGCCGAGGGACTGTCAGAGAACATCACCTGAAATGTGTATTGCCTCTGACTAGGTCATGAACTCAACCTTCCCCAACATTTTTGAAATGATAATACTTTAGAGCCAGAGGGACTGTGAAAGACATCTGTTGTAAGGCCTTTGGGTTATCCACGAGTTGTCAGAGATTCAGGACTTGCAGAGATGCCGGTAGCACTGGCTCTGAGCAAGGCTTATGGAAACCACAGGAGGAAAGCTCCCAAAGCAATGGGACAGACCACACCTACCTTCCAAAGAATGGATTCCCTGCTCCTTGGCAGTCTTGTAGACACTGCTGAAATCATCCCCAAGGTTCGGGTCAGCCCCAGCAGCAAGGAGAATCTGTACCACACTGCAAGAAATAAAAAAGACAGAAATATCAAAAGCAAGAAAGGCCCAGGCAGCAGAGAGTCAGATCTGAAAGCCTGTTTGGGAGTTGAGTCTGTCTCTGCTCATGTGAGAAAAGAACAAGAACTCTGGGAGCGTAAAAGCAGGTAGGAAAGCAGGCTCTGAAACTCATCAGAGGCTTGGGACAAGTTATATAACACTCTCCTACTTGCTTACTATGTATCAACTGCTTACTATATTCTAGTCACTATTTTGGGTGCTGGGTCCATGCTTACAAGGAGCTTAAGATTTGGTAGGAAGGTAACAAATCATGAAAAATGCAATAATGATTATGACAGGGGAAATACCATGTGCAGTAGAACAAGGAAAAGAATTAAGAAAGGCCTTCCAGCAGGATGTTGGCAGGGTGTTAGAATAGTGATTTCCAGTGCTTGTCCTCCATAAACATCAATCCACTTGTGAAAACATCTCCACAAGAGATAAGGAAACCAGGTGAGATATTAAAGCACACAAGCAGAGCACAGAAATAAAGACACACTGACAAGGGTAAGAATGGCAGTTTTATATTACTTGTGTCACCTCCTCTCAAATCCAGGCAGAACAGCATGGAGAGAAGTACCCTCTGCACGGAGGAAGGAAGAGAGAAATGAGCACTGGACTTTGCCTAGACTCTGAAACCAGGTTTGTCTCAGTAAAACTCAGTGCAAGGCAGTCCTTCATTGGCCCCAGATTCTAGGTCAGTGCCTTACGGTTAGCCCCAGGTTCTAGGTCGGCCTAGCACTTAATCTGTTTATCTACCACCAGGTTAACCCTAGCAGCCCCAGGCTTCTGACTCCAGGGGACCCACTGATTGACCCAGGTGCCAGGGCTGCCCAACTACTGTCAGGCGTGCCCAGAATTTCTGGAAGAGGTGACTGGTGAAGGGCTTTCCCAGACAAAGCCAGTCTGTAAAGACTAGAATATAAATCCTTACATTTTCAAATGTACAGACACCAATGAACGGCCACAAGGACAAAAATGAACAGACAAATAAGCAAGCAACAATAAGAAAACCAGGAAACATGACCATAAAAAAAGGACCAAAATAAAGACCAGTAACGAGCCCTAAAAAATTGGAGATTCACGACCTGACTAACAAAGGACTTAAAAGTCTTACCTGTTTTTAGGAAGGATCAGTGAAGATTAAGAAAGGTAGAAACTATTCCTTTCCTTCCTCCTCCTCCTCCTTCCCTTCTCTTCCACCCTCTCTTACTTCCATTTTGTTCAGAGAAAACCAGGAAAACATAAATGACCAAAACAGTACATTTTACTAAGATGAAGTTATTTCTAAAAATCAAATTCTGGAGCTGAAAAATACAGTGAATGAAGTGGAAAAATGCAATAGAGAACACCAACAGAACTGATCAAACATAAGAATCTATGATTTAGAAGATAGGTTATTTGAAAATATACAGAAGAGAAAAAAAGAATGAAATTTGCAGGATTTATGGGACAACATCAAAAGAGTACTCAGTTATAAAAGCTCAAGAAGAAAAGTGACAGTAAAAGGTAAAAAGATCACTGAAAGAAATAATAGGACTGGGGATGCAGTTTGGTGGTACAATGCTTGCCTGGCACGCACAAGGCCTTGGGGTCAAATCCCAGCACTGAAGAAAAAAAAAAAACCCACAAAGAATGAAGGGAGGGAAGGAAGATCACAGGGAAAAAAAGGATTTTAAAACCTGTAAGAGAAAAGAAGCCAATAACATATAAGGGTGTTCCAATAAGCTAACAGTGGATTTTTCAGACCAAGCATTATGGACCAGGAGAAAGTAGGATGATATGCTCAAAGTGTTGAATTTAAAAAAAAAAAAAAAAAAAAAGAACAAGAACAAAACAAGGTTACCCATTTTCACCACTTCTATTTAATATGGTAATGAAAGTTCTAACCACAGCTATTAGGCAAGAAAAAAAAAAAGACATCCAAATTGGAAAAGAAGAATTTAAATTGTCTATTTACAAATGACATATTATATACAGAAAACTCTAAAGATTCCTCAAGAAAAAAACTGTTAAAACTAATAAATTCAGTAAAGTTGCAGGATACAAAATTTGACATATAAAAATCATTAGCAGACAGGTGTGGTGGCATATGCCTGTAATCCTAATACTCAGGAGGCTGAGGCAGGAGGATCACTGTGAGTCTGAGGCCAGCCTGGGCAACAAAGTGAGTTCAAGATAATCTAAACTGCACAGTGAAACATTGTTTCAGACCACGAAAACAAAAAACCAAAAAAACCAGTAGCATTACTATATGCTAAGACCCATCTGAAAAATAAATTAAGAAAACTCCCATTTATAACAGGTACAAAAGAAAAAAAATACTTAGGAATAAATTTAAGGAAGTGAAAGACTTGCACATTGAATACTATAAGATATTGATGAAAGAAATGAAGGACACAAATAAATATACAATATTCATGAGTTGAAAGAATTAATATATTTAAAATGTCAGTACTACTCATAGTGAGCAACAGATTCAATATAATCCTTATTAAAAGTCCAATGACCTTTTTAACAGAAATTGAAAAGAAGTCTTAAAATTTCCATAGTCAAACCAACCTTGAATAAACTCAGCAAAGCTGGAGGCAACAGTCTGACCTCAAAATATACTACAAAGCTATAGTAATAAAACCAGCATGGTACTGGCATAAACAGACACAGACTAATGAAACAGAATAGACCTGTGAGTTTCGGGAGTCAGGACTTGCAGAGATGCCGGTAGCACTGGCTCTGAGCAAGGTTTATAGAAACCACAGGAGCAAAGCTCCCAAACCACATGAGCAAAGCTCCCAAAGCAATGGGACAGACCACACTCACCTTCCAAAGAATGGATTCCCTATTCCTTGGCAGTGGCAACACAACTCCATTGTGTACAACCAACCATTTATGTACTTTTGAGAATGGTATCTTTTGCCCTGTTCTATCTTTTCTTCCTATGTCAGTTGAAGTCCATATATATTTTAGATATTAATTTCATGTCAGATGTATGGTTTGAAAATATTTTCTCTTAATCTGTAAGTTAACCATTTGCTCTGTTAGCCATTTCCTTTGCAGTGTAGAAGCTTTTGTCTTTATATAATTTTGTCTATGTTTGCTTTTGTTACCTTTGCTTTTGTGGGCATATCCAAAAATTTGCAGTGGGTTTTTGTGATAGACGACATCCTGTAAGGTCCCCCATATGAGGGTAACACCATCTGTTTAAAAAAGACCATACTATTTTTCTTTTCCTGAAGTGTGTTTACATTTTTTGGGCAGAATATATATATCCGGCCCCCGGCCCCTTCCTTTCTGGTGCTGTTCCCTCCTCTGCTTCCCGGCTGCCATGGGTTGGGTAGCTCTCCTCTGCCAGGTCCCTCCACCGTGCTCGTTCTGTCTGCAGACAGCCAACCTTGGGCTGAACCCTCCGAAATCATGAGCCAGATAAACCTCTCCTTTAGTTTTTAAGGGTAGGATATTCCTGTGTCGGGGAAGTGACTCACATAAATCAACCTACATGTCCAACATCAGATGAATAAGGAAAATGTGCTCATATGAACACAATAGAATCAGACATAAAAAAGAAAGAAATCCTATCATCTGTGACAACATGGATGTATTTGGAGGACTTTAAGTGAAATAAACCAGCCTCCCAACCCCCAAAATACTACTGCTACACAATTTGACTTATATGTAGAATGTAAAAAATTAAACTCATAGATGCAGAGTAGAATGATGATACCAGATGCAGGGTGAAATGACGAGTTTAAAAGATGTTAGTCAAAGGACACAAAATTTCAATTTCACAGTTGTAATGAACTCAAGAGATGATGTACACACAGAAAATGGTGACTATAGTTAATGATGTATTCTTGAGCTGGGCATGGTGGTGTATACCTACAGTCTCGGCACTTCTGAGGCTGAGGCAGGAGGAGCACCATGAGTTCAAGGCCAGCCTGGGCTACATAATGAGTTTAAGGCCAACCTGAACTACAGAGTGAGACCCTAAACAAACAAACAAACAAACAAATAAACAAAATAAAACCACAAAAAACAAAAACCCCATAAAATAATGATGTATTTCTGAAAATTGCTACAAGTAAATTTTTAGGGTTCTTACCACAAAGAACAGCACGCACAGTGATGTGTATGTTAGCTTAATTTAGCTATCATAAAATGAATATGGTGGAGTGGCAGATAGCAGTGCTGTAAAGTGCCTTTACCATTTTTTTTTTAAATGAGGGGGCTGATATGAGAGTCTGAAGTAGTCGGCTAAAAGGGCCAGTCTACTTGAAATCATCAGGAGAGGAGCAGTTGTGGGACATGAAGATGACCCATTCTGGCAGATGTTATTGCAAAAAACAGCACCGAGCATGTGCTGACAAAAGTTCTCCCTGCTCCACCTTGGAGGTCAGACTGTGTTTGGAGAACTGGTACTACCCTGCTTGTGAGCAAAGACGCACAATGTGGGAAAATTGTGGAGAAGAAAAGACTCTTCAGAACTGATGTCGGTCATTTGATCTCAAAGGATGCTGACGACGGTCAAGTATGGCTTTCAGAGCAGCAACATAGTAAGAGCACAGCTCTTTCCCAAAGGCAAACACTATGCTTCATAGGTATTCCAACATAAGAAGCCCAGACTGCTAGCTGGGGCAGACCAGCTAGCCCTGATTGGGCCGTGAAGCTGTAATGGCCCAACAACCTACGAGTGAGAATGCCTTGTGGAAGCTTAAGAGCCTTGCACAAAAAGTTCAGCACACTACTGGAGCAAAAATGAGAGCACAGGTGCGCTGAACAGAACCTGCTTCTTCAGTGCACTCCTGCAACCCAAGTGTCTCAGGCAGAAAGCCAGTCTGACTCTGAAGGATTGGAAGGAAAACAAATTTTTCAGAATGCTGCCCCTGGGGAAATGAATGGGGGGCATGCAACCAAAGGAAGGTGTATAATCGTAAAAATACTCACAACCCCTAAGAAGGATAAAGGTGA